ATTATTATTATTATTATTATTATTATTATTATTATTATTATTGTTATTGTTATTATTATTATGAAAAGGGAAGGGATGGTTGGCATTACAATAAGTAGAAACAGACACACACACACACAATATTATTATCATTATGTGAACTTCTCTTCTTAAAGGCGTCTACAGATCTCATAAACATAATAGTAATAAAATAAATAAGTACATAAAACAAAGCGAGACGGTCTATACTATAGTATCTGTACGTTATATTGACATGTCAAAGAATGTGGAGGTGCGTGAGATGGGTGAAGACTATGGTGTTGGTACATATGCCCTGCAGTCATTTCACCCCGGTGATGTTTTACTGCAGGAACTGCCTGTTGTATTCACACAGTCTCTAACTTCACCGTGTTGTTGTTGTTGTGGCTGTGGTATGGTGCTCGTCACTCTTGCAGAGGAGTGTAAACGATTGTCATCCCTTGTAGAGTTAACAGCAGCCCAAGGTGAAGAAGAAGAAGAAGAAGAACAATCGTGTTTGCCTGTCGATAATAATAATAATAATAATAATAATAATAGTGATGTGGGTAATCTACGAGATGAATGTCCAACCATCTCGCAGTGTAGAGAGATTATAAGTTCCCCAGAGGCACTCTACGAAACATTGAAGGAGTTTGATGCCTCTAATCTTTTCTTGTCTGGTGTGTCTATAGATAATAATGATAATGATAATAATAATAATAGAATGGAACACTGTGGAAATACATCAGGAAATAAAGTGCGGTTTTGTACTCTGGAGTGCAGGGAACGCTATCTACACAAGCGAGGAGGAAGATTTCTCCTTCTCATTCCCACAGAGGTGAAAACAACAACAACAACAACAGTTCATGATTTGCAGGAACCATCGGCCGCTGCCATCATGTCTTCGGCTGTTAGTTTAACAGAGAAATTGATGGAAGTGGTATGGCCAAGTAAGAGAGATGTTCTCAGAACACTGGAATACCTCACAAATCACTATAATGCACGTTTGCGTCTTATTCTTTCTATTCTTAGTCGTTGTCTTAACGACAGCCTCACAGATCTCACTTGTAATAATAATAATAATAATAATAATAATAATAATAATAGGGAAATTTCTTTGGAATTAGTTCAGACACACTTTACAGATGTGGTGGGGAAATTTGTATGGGAATACGCTGAAGGGGCATCGCGATCCTTAACGGAGGAACAACGGGCATTCTTGCGATTCTCATGGAAGTGTGTTTGCCGCTGGTTAACGCTCTGTTGTGTAGAGGAAGTGAAATCTATTTATGAGAAAAATAAATGTAGTGAGACATCACAGTTTGGGTGGATCTCGCTTCAGTTGTATTTGCGTATCTTCTGGTTAGCAGATGCCAATGTTCATATGTACATTGTGTTCTCACCATTATACACACTGCTCTGTCAACAACTCCCAACTATGTACGCTATCTGCCAACGCAAGAATAATAATAATAATAATAATAATAATAATAACACCAGTAGTAGTAAGTCGGCGGCAGAACGAATTCATCATCAGATGTGTGTACTTCGTGAACTCTTCCGTGTGGTGGATCCGAATGCAGCACATGCCACTGGTGTCGCATTGTATAATGAGGCCACAAAGATAAATCACAGCTGCACACCGTCTGTACGGTTTGTACCAACCCACGGTGGAGTTCGTGCAGTGGTGATCGCACTACGCGATATTGACATTGAAGAGGAAATACGCACTTCTTATATTGATATTAACGCCTATAACTCAGTAGCCGAGCGACGGGAATATCTGCGAATCCACTACGGTTTTATTTGTGACTGTCCATTGTGTTCACCTGAGTAAGCAAATATATATATATATATTTCTCTCTGTGATGATGTTGCTTGTTGGACTGGACGGTTGAGAGTGATCTTTTTTCTGTAGATGATGATGATGATGATTAATGCTGTAAAAAGGTTTTTGTTTCCCTGTAATGATGGTTGCCCGATTCTGTATTCTAATAGAAGTTTACTCTTATTCCTTCTCTTCTTTTTCTTTTTTTTTTTTTTATATATCTTTTAATAGTCCAGAAGAGGGGTAAAAACAGGTGTATATGGGATTCAATTGCCTTCTCCCATCGCGTTCACTCATTCGCATTTCCGGTGTCGTCTCTCATGAGTTTCTGCAGGGACTCTTTACAAATGATTTACGGCTTCTTTTGCCTGGTGGAAGTATTTGGGGTTGTTTCTTATATCACACCGGTCGAGTGATGTGTGATGCGTATTTATATCAACCCACAGTTGTGAAAGATAATGGGCAAACCTCCATTATAGTGGATGTCCACTCTGATATGGTGAATAGACTGCAGGAACATCTTCTTGAGATGCGAATGCGAAAGAAACTGCAGATTGAGAATATAAGTAAAGACTTTACCATACTTGCCAGTACAGGTCCATCCTGTTCTTCCTCCTCCTCTTCTTGTAGTTGTAGTAGTAGTAGTGGTAATGATTGTGGTATGGAAACTTATGTAGATCCCCGCAGCTTCGCCCTTCCCACACCACTACACAAATCCATTCTTCCCACTGCGGAGATCCCAACAAAAACAACAACAACAACAACAACAACAAGAGAGAGAGACCCGGAGGGGAATTATCACAAATTTCTCTACAGCGCTGGTGTGGGGGAGGGGCCGGATGTCTTTCGACACGCCAAGACCCTCCCGTTTGAGGCGAACACCGACTTTCTGCGAGGCGTGAGTTTTCACAAGGGCTGCTACATTGGACAGGAACTCACTCACCGCACACATGTAATGCTGGTGACGCGAAAACGAACTGTTCCATTTCAATTACGACAGTCTGCTGGGCGAGTGGTTTCTAAAGGTGAGGCGTTATTTGCGGATGGACAGAAAGTTGGTGAAGTTCTTACCAGCTGCGGTGATGTTGGACTCGCACTGTTGCGATTGCGTTGTCTGAGAGAAGATCCGCAGTTGTTGTTATTGCAGGATGGAGTGGCCGTAGAGGTGCGAATACCAAAGTGGTGGGATGCACGGGAGGTGCGGAAGATCATGTCAATGACAACAACAACAACATCATCATCACAGGGGTAAATAGGGAATCTGTGTGAGTATATATATGTGTATTTATTTATTTTATTTTATTTATTTATTTCTTGTGGGTCGAACGCCTATCCATGTTGTCTCTTTCTTTCTCTCACTTTTCTTGCAGTTTGTTTATTTGTTGTTGTTTCTGCTGCTGTTTTTTGGCTGTGTATTTGTTGACTATCGCTGTTGAGATATGAAGAGACGTGTTAGGTTACCTTTTTTTTTCTCTTTTTTTGGTGATTTCCCTTCTGTGGTCCACTAGTAGACTACAAATATGTATTTGTGTCTCTCCCTTTTTTTTTCTTTCTTTTTAAACTATTTGGATTCTTTGCAAGCCGTTGTCCTTTTGTTTCCTTTTTTTTCTTTTTCACGGTTTGTATCATTAGCGGCATAGTGGCCGTAGATCATACACGCAGTGAGTGTACAAAGTAAACCAACAAATCATTACGAAAGACATATCTATATATATATATATATATATAGATAGATAGATAGAGAGAAATATATATATATAGTTGTTATTGCATTGAATAGAGAGATGGGTTGCGGGTCTTCAGTAGCCACAACGACACCTCCCGTCTCCAATGAAAGGACGCGAACACGAAATAAGAAAAACTCGAATTCCAGTAGTATTGGTTTTCGTACTACTGTCTCCTCCACAACAGCGATGAGTCCAAACCCTATGGCTTCAAATGAACACCGTATTTCCAACAGAAGTAGTGGCAGTAATAGTAATAATGGTAAAACCAAAGGAAAGTTAACGAATGCACAAACAGAGAAATATCCTGTCCCTGCGAGACGTACAAGTGGCAATAGTCCACATCAAGTGATAAGTGATATGGATGATGATGATGATTTTGATGTGCGTTCTGCCAATGGAGATATGTTAGAAAATAGAGCCTTGTCAAGTGGGGCACTTAGCAATGGAAATGTAGATATGCCAAATCTCGCTACTTTTTATAATGAACCACAGGAGTGTTTTTTCTGTTGTAGTGCCGCCGTCACACATATGTGTGAACAGTGTGAAAACCTTTATATATGTGATGAATGTATGTTTAATGATGCTTGCGTACATGACCCAACACATGCGATTACTGGAATACATGAAACCCAATCCAATGCGAGTCGTACCTTTGGGTCTAGTTTAGTAACAGTAGATGGTGGGGCTAGTAGTCTTTTCTATGATCCATGTCTGGTATGTGGACGTGTTATTTTAGATGTGGAACTTGTTTATCACTGTGATGAGTGTAATGTTGTGGTTTGCGGTCATTGTTATCAAAAGAGTGGGGCTATGGTTCATGAACATGAATTAAAGTCTTTTCAACGGGCTATTCGAAGTAATGCGGCTAGTTATGCCTTACTTAGTAAGAGTCGAAATAGTGAGGGTAATAAGGTTATCAATGATTATGTAGTTGTGAAACAACTTGGTAGGGGATCTTATGCAAAGGTAAATTTAGTTCAACATCGTCGTGAACGTGCCTTATATGCTTTAAAAATTCTTAAACGTAATCGTATGAATAAAAGTAAACGATTTTTATCACCCAAATCGGGATCTGAAGATGATGACTTATTACGTGAAATTGCCGTTATGAAATTTGTTTCTCATCCTAATATAGTAAAACTTAAAGAAGTTATTGATGATGTTGAGGCGCAAAAGGTGTATGTGATTATGGAATATTGTGAAAAAGGGCCTATTCATGTCCTTGGTCATCCCCCACTCCCTTTAGAAAAAGTACGAAAATATGCTCGAGATATTATTTCTGGTCTTTTATATATGCATAGGGAATATTTATTTCATCGTGATATTAAACCAGCCAATTGCCTTGTAGATGGGAATGATGTAGTGAAGATAGCAGACTTTGGTACGTGTAGTAGTCAAATGAAGAATGCCAACATTGATGGTACACCTGCGTATTCATGCCCTGAGCAGTGTCTTGGACTTCGCGTGACGGGTGATGTTGTTGATAGTTGGGCCTTTGCAGTATCATTATATCAAATATCACATGGATATCTTCCTGTTCGTTCGGGTAGTTATGGAGAACTTCGTAATAGTTTATTAGGAAGTGCTCCAATAGAGATTTCACCTAAAATTGATCCGCAATTACGGGATGTACTTTCTCGAATGCTTGAAAAAGATTTTTCTAAACGTATGTTATTGCGTGGGGCGGCAAGACATCCTTTCTTTGGTATGAGTCCACAAGAAGTTCCTGCACTTCATGAAGAGAGATGTGAAAATGGATATGGGGCACCAAATAAGGAATTATATCTACGAGCCTTAAAGGGAGTCTTGAGAGGAAAGGGATTGAGTAGTTATTTCCATGGCACTCGGGCTATTCGTAAAATTAATCGAAATGAAGTGAATTATAATCTCTCTCCTAGTGATGATTTGATAGAGGAACCAAGTGAGAATAAGAATAACTGCAATGATGGTAAAAATGGTAATGATTCCAATGATAAAAATAGAGGAAATAATAATAATAATAAAAATAATAATAATGATAATAATGATATTAATAATATGCAAGAGATGGTGGAATGCATGAGTCCTCCAAGTGAGATTGACAATCTTCAAGTGATTTCAATGATGTTGGAGACACAAAAACAAGGAAAATTAGAAATTACCGATATTGTTTTACATGAACTTCCAACCTTCTTATCAGATGCAGCACCTCATACCACGGAGTTCCGATTATCTAATAATGGTATTTCTTCTGTGGCAAATCTTGATTTCTCACTATTTAGTTTATTACGTGAAGTGAGTATTACGAATAACGCTCTCACAGTGTTTCCGATTGAAGTTCTTGCGGCCCAACGTCTTCAGAAATTAGATCTCTCTCATAATCGTATTGTAGATATCCCACCAGCTGTAAATCGAGCTAGAATGTTAGAACGTTTATCTCTTCATAGTAATTGCATTAAAAGTGTTGGAACCGATAAAGCTAAAAATTCAGTTTTCTCCGGTCGTTGTTTACGACATGTACGATTGAGTTGTAATCCATTACTACATCTCCCAGAGGCATTATCCACATGTCCCAATTTAGAATTAGTATTAGATGATGCCCCTACATTAGTAGAGGAATGGGAACATATAGTCTCCAAGGTACCAAATGTGGTAGTCGTATGGAATGATATCTATCCCCGTCTGGTCCATTCAATCCTTCCAGTGTATGTAGCTTCCAAGAATATACATCTCTACAAGTTAAAAATACTTCATACGCTTAATATTCAACACGTGGTACTCTTGCAAATTGAAAAATGGCTTCCACTTGGGAAAACAGAGGGAAAAGAAATGGAACGCTGTGTGCAACGCAATACACAAGAAACAACAACAACAACAGCAGCAGAGGCGGTACCAGAGCGGGCACGACGAGTAGTGAGTTGTGTAGATGTGATGGATATCGTCTCTTCATCTCCCACACATAATTTACCGCCCATTCTGCAGAAGGCGGCATTTGAAACTATAAAGAGTTACTTTGTCATTTCAGAAGTTCCGGAGGATCCTTTAGCGGGTTTCATTCCACTGCGGAATTATGTTGCGGAGCGGAGACGACTTAATGAGCGGGTTTTATTTTTTCTGGAGGAGAAGCGAATGTCGAGATCTTCGCGGGAAACGGCTATTGGGGTTATTTGTTCCACTTTGCAAGATCACATGGGACCCGAAACTCCAGTGTGTAAATGTTATCAAATGGTAATGGATGCGATAAGAGGACTCTACGGTTGAGAAAAGAGAAAAAAGAAAAGAAAAATAGAAGAGAGAAGTGTTGTGTGTACCTTTTTTTGTTTTGTTTTTTTTTTTTTTTTTT